CGTGCTCTGGTCAATGGGTCACGAAGAGTCGGACACAACTTAACGACTAAACAACAACAATTAAAGGGTTTTACAGGTAGAAACATTTTTCTTGAGTGCAACTGTTTTGCAAAGGCCAGACAACAGCCCAAATCCTCTGGTGTAATGAAAATGGCGTAACATCTAGAGGTGAATTACCTCATGTTAAGAAATCACCATAGTTATTACCTGTTGTATGCTGAGTAGTCAATATCCAACATATAAGCTGAAATACAGCAGTGTATTAAAATAATGTCTTAGAACAACGGTTTTGAACATATGATCAGATGCTCTGGACTTCAGTTCTCAGACGCTACAGCTAACACTGCCAGAGGTTAGGGTTAGGGATTATTCTAGAGCAGTGATGGCAAACCTTTTTGAGCCCAAGTGCCCAAACTGCAACACAAAATCAACCACAACCATCCCAAAGAGTTCCACTCCTCCAACCACACAACCTCCAGCACCTGCCCGGGACACTCCCTGCTCTGCCTCTGGCTGCAATCCTTAAAGGCACAGAAGGCAGGAGTTCAGTATTTCCATGCCTGGCATCCGGGTGGGTGTAAGTGTGTGTGTTTGTGGTGGCAGCAGCCATTGCCATCTTAGCTCTCCCTCCCTTCCCAATAGTTCTTCCCAAAATCCATGATCAGAGGATGGGTAAGTATTTCTCGATGCCGACTTACAGCTTGCGTGCCCACAGAGAGGGCTCTGAGTGCCAGCTGTGGCACACATGCCATAGGTTCGATGTCACTGTTTTAGAGGCTGAAAATCAAAACTACTGAAGGGCCAGAAGTTGAAAACTACTCCCTAATGTATATTCACATCCTGGAAGTGTTTCTCTTTTACCAGTCTGGCATGCCATATCACAAACTACTACGGAAATTATCTTAAATTTCAGAAGAAGATTTATTTGATTGTTTAAGCAAGGGCACAAAAACCCATCAACAAGCTGCATGTTTACTCAAAAGCAGGTCCCAATGTGTTCAACCGTGGTTACATACTACAAGTATACAGTGGGGTCTTGATTTGAGAACTTAATCCGTATTGGAAGGCGGTTTTCAAGTCAAAAAGTCTGTAAGTCAAGTCTCCATTGACCTACAGTGCATTGAAAACTGATTAATCTCGTAACAGGCCGTTTTTGTTCCATTTTGTTTTTTTCCTGGTCTGTAAGTCAAATCTCAGTCTGCAAGTCAAACCTAAATTTTGCGGCCAGAGAAGTCTGTAACTCAAAAAGTCTGTAAGTCAAGCCGTCTGTAAGTCAAGGGTCCACTGTATTCACAACTGCAGCCAAGATCTCCATTGGGTGTGCGGTTAGAAGAACAATTCTATGTGTCAAAGGCAGAATCTGGAAGCAGATTTCATCTCAGCATCAGGTGCAAATGGGCAAAATTCAAACAGAGATAGTACCTTACTAACTTAGGCTACTTGCCCTAGTGACAGATTTTAGCGCCGCAATGATATAGGGAAACCTACATTGTAGTTATACACTATTGTGATATTTTATAATAAAAACTTCTATGATACATTAAACATAAAAATGGTGTTGAGATATTGGCCATTTTCATTCCTGCCACCATCCCTTCAATGTTCATGAACAGTAAGGATCATCAGGATAAGCAATATACTATTGATTTATTCTGTCCTAAAATTCAGTTCTCTTTATGTAACAAACAGAACAATTCCAAGAACACACAGAATATGGAGGGGACCTTGGATTAATTGCTTCCCTTTTTTTTTTGGTCCAGATGGCTGAAATTTGCAAGTGACAGTTATCTCAGGAAGCTTACATCCAGGTGGCTGTGGGCTTAGATAAAACACAGTACTGTATGACTCTCTCTCTCTCTCTTTCTGCATATACTTATATAAGGCTGAAAACAATAATATTTAGGCAACTTAATTTTCTAAAAATACAAGTGTAACATAATCTATATAGGGTATATGGAGCCAAGCATCCTTCTTTAGAACTTGCAAAATGTTTATGCAAGGTTTTTCCCCCAAGTACATGGTAAAATTACTATTCTGCACAAGAAAGGAAAAGGACTCTCTGCCAATCAATATGACATGCAATTGAAAGACTGACACTAATAGCTATTACTAGAGTGAACCTGTTTGAAGCTGAGCACTGCTGCTGCTTACCATTTTCTTTATACAAAGCTTACAAGTTATCAAAAATGTAGCTTTTATGTAGCTTGGAACCCAAAGCAGATATTGCTACTCTGTTAGCTGGTAAGCATTTTCAATATCTGCCCCAAACAATGACAAGTCTTTTATTTTTATTTTGCTAGTATTTAAATACCTACCTACCTACATCCATCCATTCATTATAGCCTACCAAATACATATGACTTTGTATGGAACTTTAAACTTACAAGAAAGTTATACATATACTTAGTATCTTTGCACATATGAAATGCAATGATTATTCCATGTACACAATGCACTAAAATCCACTTACTCCGTGAATTTATATGCAGCACCCAATGTACTGTAATGCTTCCCAGGCACAAAGAACCTAGTAACATGAAGTCAAACTAGCCAGAGAAAACTCTGTATTTGATATTCCCCACCTTATCTTCCTTGTTATTTAAGGTACAATCCTGCTGTATAACACATCTTTTAAGTCTTACTGTCAATATACACAACTATAGCTAATTCTAGTCTTAAAACCAATGGAGGCAGGGAATGAAGTAAAGAAAAAATGAATTTTGGGAAATAAGAAAACCCTTTAGAACTAAGTATCAATTATTTAGATTCTGAAATTGTGTATCTTCACTTGGCATTCAACAACTGCAGCTCCTTCTTAGTAACACAGTCATGCCTTGATAAAAAAAAATCATATAATAGATCACACTATAACTTTTAGCAATCATTTCCTACCCCCACACCTTTAATAATTTGATGAATGCTTCTGTCAACAAGGATAAAGATCACAATTTTATTTCGGCTTAAGTACTTGAACTTTCAGGATCCCATTCATGAATATTGCAACTGCTAACCACTGATAGGATCACAGTTCGTCCCACTCTGATGATGCAGGCACATAGAGTAGCTTGCCTTTGAAGTCTTGTCTCAGTCTGGGTGTGGACATGGAAAAAGAAATTATGTGTGGCAGAAATTAGTTGTGACCTTAGTAGTGTCTGCTTAGTGGAAATGTTTTCCTAAAATTTATCAGAGTTTGCTGGGAACAATGTGCTAGATGGCGTTAGAACAGAGATACAACTCTTTGCATTGGAAGTAAAACAGAAAGGTTAGAAGCTTGACTTAATCAAGCAGTGATTAATTGATCTACCTCACTATGAATTTTAAGTCTCAGAAGCCAATATAGTCTGAGTGTTGGCAACAAGCCTACATTTCAACTGCAGTCTTTCTATTTTATTTTGAATGGAATAGTAAAATTATGAAACCAGGTGACCAGCAAACTATTTCAGGAAATATACATGCAGCTAGACAGAGGGCTATTGAATAAAAATAATTTATTCAGTTGACTTTAAAGAATGATGGGCTGCAAATTATTCAGGAAAATACGATCTGTTGCTTCTGCACAGAAGAAAATCTTACAGGTTAAGTATTCATTTGTGATATTTTGCTTAAATAGGCATACAATTTTATATTACTGTCTGTTCTATATGTCTCTGTGCTGCATGAACAAACAGAAATATAATGGTAGCTCTTAGTCTGTGTGCATGTAATTCTGCAGGGACATGTGTTATGAGACATGTTTTACCTTGAGTGCATGTATGTTTCACACAGAAATATAGACAATTTATGAAGAGCAGCAGCAACGTTTAAGTTTAACTAGTAGCAACACTCATGAAGAGTGAAATTAGTTACATATAATAACCAGATTTGGCCACTTTACCACCACCCAATATATTTTTCTCCCACGAGCAGTCACAGAAGTGAGCACAAGTTGAAATAATGGAATGTCAATCTAAGCACTCTCCTCATACTGTGACTTTGACACAGATTTCCCCCTCAACTCCTACAAAATGCAAAGGAGAACATATATAAGTCCAATAGATGTCTACCTGGCTTTTCCTCTGCTTATAATATATCTCAATGAGGGCAGGATTCACATGGATCAGGACTCGTAGCTAGGCTTTTGGAGAGAACTAACCAGTGATCTGACATAGGCTCTACTAATCATTATTTACTTGGTTCTTTGCCAGCATAATTAACAAGGATCACCTTGCCCCTTCCTATTCCTTGTTGTGTTATCCACATAAAGAGTGGCATGTCTACAGAGCAGAAGTTCCTGCTCACAAGTGCATTCTCCAGAAGAGCTAAAACCTGATTTTTCCAGGGTTCCTGCTTGAATGAGAACCTACATGCAACCAGAAATCTCCACTGATTTGCATGTTGCTCTCTGTGTGGAGAAAGGGACCACAGAGAGGCAAGGGCTTGGGATTTTGGTTGAAACGTGTTAGAACTGCACATTTAATAAATAGGGCTATAACATCTAGTTTGGTCTCAAAAATAGAAGACTTGTGCCCTACCTCCAGTATAGTAGGGCCAATGGTCTTCATGTGATATAGCGAGGAGAAGATTCTATGTTAGTAAAGTATTGGCTTTTACTGGTGTTCATTGTACATTACAAAGATCAGATCTAGCACCATCAACAAACTCTGAAGCTAAACTTTGGGTCCAACTAAACTTTGTAAATAAAATATGTTGCATGAATGCATGGAAATCACACATCAACATGAACAAAACAGAAAAGAAAAAGGCATATGGTCCTTCCACACAATCTGAAAATAAGGGTGGACAATACCTTTAATGGCCTAATGGAGACATTGCCCACTCTAGTTTTCAGACCAATGTGACTGAAACACTGAAGTCAACCAAAGTAAGATCAAAGTTACTTCCTCCACCACCCTGGATCAATTAATGCATGCCATACTAAAAGTGCCTCTTTCCCACAAACATTTGCTTGATACCATGTTGAGGGAAAAGCCTGATGATGACATCTAGAAATATGGTCTTACCAGCATGCAGATAAGCTAGGTCAGGGTTCTCAATATCAGGATGCAGTTCTTTCAGGTGGTTGCGAAATTCGACGGGTATATTGGTTCCATATTCACACTTTGGGCAATTGTACATCTTTACTCCTTCATGTTTGCCAGTATGCAGGATATGCTTCCGGATATTCTCAGCACAGTTGGACCTGAGAGGAAAACAATGATGCTACATTATACATGCACACCCACATGCTGAATTGAAATATCCCTCTAAAATGGTTGGCTCCCCACAGTTAGGCTTCTGAGTAATTTGCCATTATATGGATGATATTGACATAAACCAAGTCTTGTAAGAAAATACATGTTACAAAAAGTTTCTTTATAATACTAAATACATTTTTAAATACATTTTAAAAATCATCAGTTTTGCAACAGTAAAACAAATACATCTGGTAGGAGTATGTATGCAATTGTCTTTCGAATGGATACTAAAATGGGATTCCCAAATGGGTTTGGGAACATCAATTGCTTTTCCACAGAGCCTGACACAAGACTGCTGCAGGGATGTTATAATGGGATCATGAATAAAACCTGTTGCAGAAATGCTTAAGATAAAATAAAGGTTCAGATTATATTTCAATCTTGACCTTACATTAAAATTTGGATTTTTGTTATAAATTTTAAAGTAGGAATAATGACATGATCCTGTCTTTTATCAGTGGATTTAAGTAATCAACGGATTATTGAGAAGGAGTCAAAAAAGACATCAAGGCATTGTACAGGAATATGCCACAATGGAGAGTGTTTATAGGAGTGTTGTCAAAACTTCCAGCAACAGAAATGGCCACGAAGTAATCATGTTATTGAAGAATGGGTTCTATATTTCCACTTCTTTAGATTGGTCTAACAAGCTTATGGAAAGTGACCATTCATGCAAACACCACACCAAGAATAAATTCAACTACATTGAAATAACATGCACAATGGTGAAAAGTCACAGATATTTGTAAAAACAATGAAAACAAGCAGTGTACAAGCAAACAAAAGGTGTAACAATAATGTGAGTGCAATAAAAGAAAACAACAAAATAAAACAAAATATGTATGTGTATTTTATTATTGTACTGTATTCCATTCTTTTTTATTGCATTAATTAATCCAATAGTCCCCACTAAATCCAACAAAGGAAGTGTGGTATACTTCTCACTGAATTTGAGTGGATCTACTCAAAGAGACATTCCCATTCCCATGATGGAGAGTGTGGAGCAGGGATTCAACTGACATGAAAATTTCCACTAGAGATGGACACAAACAAAGAAACAAAACAAAAAAATGAACCAGGAGGTTAGTCAAAAAATAGGTGGTTCGTTGGTTCGGGTTGGTTCTGGTTAACATACCGTAAGAACATGAGAAGTGCCCTGTTGGATCAGGCTAAGGGTCCATCTACTCCAACTTCCTGTATCTCACAGTGGCCCCACCAGATGTCTCTGGGAGCACACAAAGCAATGAGATACCTGTCTCCTGAATCCCCTCCCCTGCATCTGGCATTTGGAGGTACCTTCCTTTTAAACCTGGAGATTACACATCCCAATCATGGTTTGTAACCTGCAATGGAGTTTTCCTCCAGAAATCTGTCCAATCTCCTTTTTAAGGCATCTAGGCCAGATGCCATCACCACATCCTATGGAAGGAGTTCCACAGACTAACAACACGCTGGGTAATGACATATTTTCTTTGTTTCTGTTCTCACTCTCCCAACGCTCAATTTGAGTGGATGTCCTCTGGTTTTAGTATTGCATGACAGGGAAAAGAGCTTCCCTATATCCACTTTATCCACCCCCTGCATAATTTTATACATTTCAATCATGTCCCCCCTCAGGTGCCTTTTCTCTAGACTAAAGAGTCCCAAACGCTGTAGCCTTTCCTCGTAAGGGAGGTGCCCCAGCCCAGTCATCATTTCACTTTCTCTCTTCTGAACTAAACTTTGTAAATAAAATATGTTGCATGAATGCATGGAAATCACACATCAACATGAACAAAACAGAAAAGAAAAAGGCATATGGTCCTTCCACACAATCTGAAAATAAGGGTGGACAATACCTTTAATGGCCTAATGGAGACATTGCCCACTCTAGTTTTCAGACCAATGTGACTGAAACACTGAAGTCAACCAAAGTAAGATCAAAGTTACTTCCTCCACCACCCTGGATCAATTAATGCATGCCATACTAAAAGTGCCTCTTTCCCACAAACATTTGCTTGATACCATGTTGAGGGAAAAGCCTGATGACGACATCTAGAAATATGGTCTTACCAGCATGCAGATAAGCTAGGTCAGGGTTCTCAATATCAGGATGCAGTTCTTTCAGGTGGTTGCGAAATTCGACGGGTATATTGGTTCCATATTCACACTTTGGGCAATTGTACATCTTTACTCCTTCATGTTTGCCAGTATGCAGGATATGCTTCCGGATATTCTCAGCACAGTTGGACCTGAGAGGAAAACAATGATGCTACATTATACATGCACACCCACATGCTGAATTGAAATATCCCTCTAAAATGGTTGGCTCCCCACAGTTAGGCTTCTGAGTAATTTGCCATTATATGGATGATATTGACATAAACCAAGTCTTGTAAGAAAATACATGTTACAAAAAGTTTCTTTATAATACTAAATACATTTTTAAATACATTTTAAAAATCATCAGTTTTGCAACAGTAAAGCAAATACATCTGGTAGGAGTATGTATGCAATTGTCTTTCGAATGGATACTAAAATGGGATTCCCAAATGGGTTTGGGAACATCAACTGCTTTTCCACAGAGCCTGACACAAGACTGCTGCAGGGATGTTATAATGGGATCATGAATAAAACCTGTTGCAGAAATGCTTAAGATAAAATAAAGGTTTAGATTATATTTCAATCTTGACCTTACATTAAAATTTGGATTTTTGTTATAAATTTTAAAGTAGGAATAATGACATGATCCTGTCTTTTATCAGTGGATTTAAGTAATCAACGGATTATTGAGAAGGAGTCAAAAAAGACATCAAGGCATTGTACAGGAATATGCCACAATGGAGAGTGTTTATAGGAGTGTTGTCAAAACTTCCAGCAACAGAAATGGCCACGAAGTAATCATGTTATTGAAGAATGGGTTCTATATTTCCACTTCTTTAGATTGGTCTAACAAGCTTATGGAAAGTGACCATTCATGCAAACACCACACCAAGAATAAATTCAACTATATTGAAATAACATGCACAATGGTGAAAAGTCACCAATATTTATAAAAACAATGAAAACAAGCAGGTGCAGCCTTACCATTGTTTTGTACAATTGCATTATAATGTTGATTAATCAAAACCTACAAACCAAAGTGAAATGAAGCAACAAACGTTTTTAGTGATTTAATGAGCTTCCATGTTTGTTTGCCCTCCACCCCTACAGTCTGTTCCTCACCCCTTCTCACTGCCCCCATCACCTTTCTACCTTGTGATGCCTCCTCCTCCTCTTGCTCCCCTACTGCCACTGCCATCTTCAGAGACAGAGATCTGGCTTCCCTTCTGGGAATTGGGCCTGCTGTCTTTGTTCATGTGTCTGCCTATCAACTGACAGATATGGGCATGTGCAGACAGAGGCCTGGCTTCCATGAGTTCAGCCTGCTATCTCTGCACATGTGCCAGGATCAATCAGAGAGATCAGCTGGGATCAACTTTTCTTGTAAGCTGTGTGGCCATGCAGTGCTGGACTGGGGCCACCCATTTGTTTCTGGTCACAGCTGGAATGATGATGGAGGAGGAGGAGGTAGTGGCAGGACCAGGTAGGGAAGCAAGAGGGACAGTGGAAAGGGGGGGCAGGCTGCTCACAAAGGGGTGGGGTTTAGCTTACCCTTCCCAAAGCACAGACTGACAAAACAAAAAAATGAACCAGGAGGTTAGTCAAAAAATAGGTGGTTCGTTGGTTCGGGTTGGTTCTGGTTAACATACCGTAAGAACATGAGAAGTGCCCTGTTGGATCAGGCTAAGGGTCCCCCGAAACAAGATAAGTGAGAGTAAAGAGTCAGAAACAGCAGTGAAGGAAAAGTCACCAGTTCAACTGATTGCTGATGACACTGGAATTTGTTGTACCATTTCACTTTGCTGCTATGCAGGATCCAGGATGTTACTAGAAGTATGTACCTCCCTGCATTGACAGGGATTGAAGTAAATGACCATTGAGGTTACTTCCAACTTTAAAATTCTATGATCATGTACTCTTCATGTGCATGGGACTTCCACACTACAATTCTACAGAAACAAAACAAAAAAATGAACCAGGAGGTTAGTCAAAAAATAGGTGGTTCGTTGGTTCGGGTTGGTTCTGGTTAACATACCGTAAGAACATGAGAAGTGCCCTGTTGGATCAGGCTAAGGGTCCATCTACTCCAACTTCCTGTATCTCACAGTGGCCCCACCAGATGTCTCTGGGAGCACACAAAGCAATGAGATACCTGTCTCCTGAATCCCCTCCCCTGCATCTGGCATTTGGAGGTACCTTCCTTTTAAACCTGGAGATTACACATCCCAATCATGGTTTGTAACCTGCAATGGAGTTTTCCTCCAGAAATCTGTCCAATCTCCTTTTTAAGGCATCTAGGCCAGATGCCATCACCACATCCTATGGAAGGAGTTCCACAGACTAACAACACGCTGGGTAATGACATATTTTCTTTGTTTCTGTTCTCACTCTCCCAACGCTCAATTTGAGTGGATGTCCTCTGGTTTTAGTATTGCATGACAGGGAAAAGAGCTTCCCTATATCCACTTTATCCACCCCCTGCATAATTTTATACATTTCAATCATGTCCCCCCTCAGGTGCCTTTTCTCTAGACTAAAGAGTCCCAAACGCTGTAGCCTTTCCTCGTAAGGGAGGTGCCCCAGCCCAGTCATCATTTCACTTTCTCTCTTCTGAACCTTTTTCAGTTCCATTATGTCTTTTTTGAGGTGTGGTGACCAGAACTGAACGCAAAACTCCAGGTGCAGCCTTACCATTGTTTTGTACAATTGCATTATAATGTTGATTAATCAAAACCTACAAACCAAAGTGAAATGAAGCAACAAACGTTTTTAGTGATTTAATGAGCTTCCATGTTTGTTTGCCCTCCACCCCTACAGTCTGTTCCTCACCCCTTCTCACTGCCCCCATCACCTTTCTACCTTGTGATGCCTCCTCCTCCTCTTGCTCCCCTACTGCCACTGCCATCTTCAGAGACAGAGATCTGGCTTCCCTTCTGGGAATTGGGCCTGCTGTCTTTGTTCATGTGTCTGCCTATCAACTGACAGATATGGGCATGTGCAGACAGAGGCCTGGCTTCCATGAGTTCAGCCTGCTATCTCTGCACATGTGCCAGGATCAATCAGAGAGATCAGCTGGGATCAACTTTTCTTGTAAGCTGTGTGGCCATGCAGTGCTGGACTGGGGCCACCCATTTGTTTCTGGTCACAGCTGGAATGATGATGGAGGAGGAGGAGGTAGTGGCAGGACCAGGTAGGGAAGCAAGAGGGACAGTGGAAAGCGGGGGCAGGCTGCTCACAAAGGGGTGGGGTTTAGCTTACCCTTCCCAAAGCACAGACTGTTTTTTAAAAAAATAAACTGGTTCATGGTTCATTTTTTTAAAAAAAGTTCAGAAAGTTCATTACTCGTGGGTAGTTTCCACTCACAGTGAGCTGGCTCTTCCAGGCTCAAAACATTCACACCACGGAAGAGAGGGTACAGTAGTACCCATGCCCTTATCGTGGGTTTCTCAAAAGCAGCAGGTTGGCCACTGTGCCAACAAAAGCTCATAACTCTCCATATAAAAGTCTATAACTCCTTATGATTCCTTACATCCAGAATAATAATTCTACTTTCACCCCACCCCCGAAACAAGATAAGTGAGAGTAAAGAGTCAGAAACAGCAGTGAAGGAAAAGTCACCAGTTCAACTGATTGCTGATGACACTGGAATTTGTTGTACCATTTCACTTTGCTGCTATGCAGGATCCAGGATGTTACTAGAAGTATGTACCTCCCTGCATTGACAGGGATTGAAGTAAATGACCATTGAGGTTACTTCCAACTTTAAAATTCTATGATCATGTACTCTTCATGTGCATGGGACTTCCACACTACAATTCTACAGAAGAGCTGTTAATTAGTGATGCACAGCTGGAAGTATGCCTCATATCTTATATTACAGAGGGCTCCGTGTATGTTAAAAACATAGGACTAGAAGGAAAACTATGATGGATCAAATCAAAGGTCTATCTAGTCCAGTATCCTGTTTATACAGCAAATCCTGATGTCTATGGGAAACTCTTATGCAAAACATCAGCACAACAGCATCTCATGCTTACCTTGTCTTTGAAGGGTTCAAATCAAAGCCAATGTGTGAAACTTTGTTCCAAGTCCCAGTCTACAGATCACATTGCCAGAAGCAGGATCCTGTCCTAAACAATTTCCCCACACATCAATATAGCATTTGAAGATCATTCTTATGACTCTGATCCAGTGTTCTGAATGTGTTCCAATGCACAAAGAGATGCCTCATGCCTATGGGTTTTCTATTCATTTCCATAATTGAATAGCCATGTGCATGCAGAAAAATTAATGCACAGCTGTCCTTCCATGAATCAAATGGAAGAGCCATAGTATGGAAAGGAGTTCTATGTGGGCATCACAAATACCAAACAACCAGAGAACTCCTGAATCAAGATATGTATTTTTGGAGATTTGATAATAGATCCAAGTATATTACAGGTCAACTGCTGTTGCTTTCTTCTCTACATTTTCAGGTGCAGAATATGGATTTGTAAACACATCAGTAAATGCTTCAAAAATTAGCATGGCATGCAGAACAATAAAACTGAGGTAAAAGATGTGAGTGTGTGAGAGGGAACAAGAGAAAGGAAACCAACAAGAAAGAAAATAACAGCACAGAAATGATTGAGTGTACATCTGGTTGTCCAGTTTTAAGAACATTCTGGACATTTTGAACAGACCTTTACTAAAATGATAGGTTTCCTAAAATATCTGCCAAAGGTAGGTCGATTAAATGTAGGGGTTCAATGCTATCTCCTGTGAGGTGATCACATAAAGTTGATATCTGCCTTACGGTCTAAGTTTACCTTCTGTCATGGACATCTGCTATATACCGTAATAACATGGATCTAAAATATCAGACTAGACACCTATCATCTTCATTAAAATTAAGAGGAACTCCTAGTCCTCAGAATTCTCAAGCAATTTTCCATGACTAGTCACTGGCACTGGAGTGCTTTACAGCAACAGTTTTATGACAGGGATTACAAAAACAGAAAATCTGGGCTCGTCGACAAAAGGGAAGAGAGGGTGAGAAGACGCGGCGTGATAGAGTGGGAAGAAAGGGAGACAGGCCCGGGAGAGAGAGAGAGAGAGAGAGAGAGAGATGAAAGAGAGATGTGTCTGTTATTTTTTACAGCTTGATCTT